CTTAGCCAACGGAGAGCTGCCCTCAAACAAAGTAGAATCTCGTAAAGTCCTCATCAAATCACAGAGGTATGTACTCATAGACGGAGTGCTGTATAGGAAATCCTATCTACGTCCGTGACTGAAATGCGTGACGCCTGAAGAGGAGAGTTACGTCTTGCGCGAGTTACACGAGGGCATCTGCGGAAACCACGTCGGCCCAAGGATCCTGCTCTTGTATAGACTCTTGTATGACTGCTCTTGGCCAGGTATCCGGCCAGATCTTGGCCGGATTTTTGGCCGGATTTGGTGAACAGTGACCTCGCCAAAATTGTTCTTTCTTCGTTCAACTTCCGTATTGGCTCGAAATCCAACCAAGAACAAGGAAACATCATCTACCAATACCACAAGAGCATAACCAAGCAGTATATAGGTAACATATACACATGAAACACTTTCATAAATCCTTGATTACAAATTTTACAAATCAAAAGGAATCATGGAATCTAAATACATTTAGGGTTTCTCATAATCGAGGAGCTATACAAACAAAAGAATGCCTAACTAGCTCAACTCTCCTCAAAACATTGTTCCAAAAGTTGTTCCTGTAAGGAAAACAAAAGTAACGAGGGTGAGCTTACGCTCGTGAGGCACCGAGAAGACACACAAGTATAAACATACTTCACTATAGTTAACCAAGGCACATAAAGAAGTAAACCAATATGAAAGGATACAATTGGCTCTCAAGAGCCACTTTCCATTTGCCGTACTTGATCTCATATTCGTTGGCACTCCGTCAACCTTTGAAGAAAGGAACAAGACCGTAGATCCCACTTTATACCACATTCCTTCCACCGAACATTCCCCTTGCCGGGTCCGAACACCTCACAGTAATAGAGAGGCGATACTCGAGTATACCACAGGGTCGAGGGAATAACATTTCACTCGGCTAACAGTAAACCCATAGTTGGTTATCGAATCGCCTAGGCCCTTGCCGGCTCGACTCGAATAACAACCAATGGGATATGAGCTCAGGTATCACAGTTAAGTCGTTGGTCATAGTCCCAAACGACATTAAATCATGTACAAATACAGTTTCACAGTTAAACAGTAACAGTCATACAGATAAGAGAACGAGAGAGATGAATTACACTCTCGTCCCAGTCAAGCCAACCAAGTTCACATAAACAAGTACAAACAGTCATTTAAGCAATAAACCATATAATGGTACACTCACTGAATCAAATAAGCAACTTCACAATTTTCCTTCAGATGTAGGCCCCGGATCACCGGCACAACCTATAATAAGCAAGAAACCACCATTGAGACTCGAGCACGAGTCAAACTACTATAATGAACTACTAGTATAATATAACTTAGAAGTAAAATGAAGTGACAGTGGGTGTTAGGTATGAACAACCTCAAAACCTTTTCAATTCTACCCAAAAACACTCTCAACTCAAAATTACCAAATCTCCTTAACATTGGACAGCATTTTCCCTTTAATTTTCACATTTCCAACCTATCATTCATCACCAATATTCACATGAAACGATCACAAGTACATATATATTTTATAGGCTAAGTAATACACCTCATTAGGGTCTCACTACCCTTAAATCTCAACCAATTACAAGCTCATGAGCCAACCATAGAAAAGCCCCAAATATATAAAACCCTAAAACTAAAATTTTCCTCTAAAAGCTGAAATTCTCCACAACAAACCACCATTAACATATAGAGGCCCTATATTACTCAATATAAGGCTATCATTCCATGGCCAACCATAATATACCATATAAAACAGAAAAATCCTCAATAAATATGAAAATTGGTCAAACTCAACCATAATTCAAGAAATATTCCACAAAATGACATGCTTCACCACTAGAATGCACTAATTGATCATTATTATCATCAAAGAGGAGATGTCTTGACAACTCACCTTATCAACTACAAGAAGCAAGGTAGCTAGTGGTTCTTCTTCACAAGTGGCTCCACCAAAGACCTTAAACTCACTTGTCAACTCACGTTTGTGGAGAAATTTGGAATTTCTATGGTAGATTTACAAGATCCAAGCAAGGAAGGAAGGAAAAAGTTAAAGCTCCTCTCTTCTTTTCTCTCTAGTGTTGCATGGCCAAAAGGGGGGAAAATGGGGAGAATTTTTGGTCAAAATTGATTTAGGAAATGTGAGATAGCTCTAGTCAAAGTCCAACTCCCAATAGGAATACAACATGTGGCACTTGTAAGAGTTATCTCCTCCTCTTATCTTATAATACTACTTAACTAGCTAACCTCTAATTAGCTCATAACACCACGTAATAAAATCCTTGTATACAAAACTTCTCCAAATTATCCACATTTATCGCACTTATCACACTAGTGAGTCCCACATCCACTGTACCCACCATCAACATAGGAAATAACTTATTTTGGAAAAAAAATGATTTAAAAATCATAATTTCTCACAAAAATTCCCAAAAATTCATATAATAAAGAAAATATAGAATATATGCACAAAAGAACAAAATAAATGCCTAAAAAATAAGAAAATTTCGGGATCTCACAATATTCCTATTTGGTTATTTATTACCAAGCTCATTTCTTTTGGTAACTTAAGCATCGGAGTCAAATCGGGGGGTCAATCCCGTCCTTGCCTTTGGTTTCTTGCAGGGATTCCAAACTCGGACTTGTCAATCTCAACCCTCCTCAGAAGTTTGATCTCGAGCTTCTAAAATTAGCATCGTCTATGGGAATGAAGTTGAATCCAAGTGCTCTAGTTTCCAATGGCAAAAACTCATTCCAATTATGGAAATCAAAATCCTCGAACATTCGAAGGTCGCACAGCTGATTTGAGGGACTAGGGAATTCTTGAGAACTCTCAACCTTACAGAGAGGCTATAGCTCGGGTGGTCGAGTTCATGGTGTCCAAACCAAGGCTTTTTGAAGAGATTGTTAGGCATATGAAAAGGAAGGAGAGGGCCCAGTGTTCTAGGAGACAGCCCAAAGATACTCCTCTATCTTCTTCTTCTGAGGATGACTCGGATGATCATCATCCTAAGAGGAAGAAGGAGAAAGAAAACCTTATGAAATTAAAATGTAAGGTTCATTCTAAGGTATCCTCAGTTTCACGAGCATTGCTCAAGAACCCATTTCAAAGAAAGGATAATAGGGAAGGATCCAGATATGGATTGGCCCTTTATGGGGATTATATGAGGGCCTCCCATTTTACCCCAGACATTAATGAAGAAGTTTTTCTAGCTAACTTTAAGTTGCCTAATGTCCCATTTTACGATGGAAAATGAGATCCTGAAAACCATTTCCATGCATTCTTATCGGCATTCAGATTGTAGGGGATCTTGACGTGGTGATGTGTCGGGTGTTTCCATATTTCTTGCAAGGTATGCTCGAAAATGGTTCTGAAAATTGGAATCGGAGAGTATAATCTCACTAGAGCAGTTGGTGGACCAATTCGTCCATTGTTTCATCTCTTCTCAGCCCATCACCAAGACTTCAACATATCTTATGAACATTAAACAACATCCAAATGAATCTCTTCAATCTTATCTAGCTTGCTTCAATGAAGAAAGTATCCAAATTTTTGATCCAATGGATCAAGTCACTATGGCCACCTTCATCCATGGGTTAAACTCGAGAACCTTCAATATGGAGTTGCATATAGATTAGCCAATTATTTTGAATGAGCTTTGGCTGAGGACCGACAAGTTCATCCAGGGACAAGTCTCCAATTGGATAAAGAGAGAAACTCAAGCTCCTTCACCATCTTGGGAAAGGAGAGGATAGCTTGCACAAAGCAACAACACAACGAATAACTTGGCTGGACCCAGTCAAGAGGGAAGAAGCGGGTTCGACAAAATCTCAAAGGGGAAACCCCCTATCGTTGAACAAGACCTCACCACTCTTAACACTTCCTAAGCCCACATTCTCATGGTCACGAAGCAAAAGGATTTGGGCCTTCCTCCTCTGAGAATGTCGGGAAAGAGGAAAAAAAGGAACCAAAACCTTTATTGCGCGTATCATAGGGGCATTGGCCATGAAACTGAGAATTGCAATGACCTCAAGAAGGAAATAGAGAACTTGCTCAAGCAAGGATATTTGAGACAGTTCATCAATAGAAGGGGAAGGGATGACTCCTGAGATGATAGAAGGGATGATCGACGGGATAGTCACCATGACGATCGATGAGAGTGCCGACCATACGTTCATCCCAATGATCGACGAGAGGATAGGTCTCCACGGGACCAATCTCCTAACCCTAACAGGCACGTAGTCTAAGTAATTAATACCATCAGTGGGGAGCCCACAGGAGGCGATAGTCAATGTTTTAGGAAGCAAACATATTAGGAACTACTCTTGACTTTATGAAACCCAATTCCCGACTCGCTGATGTGATATCCTATGGACTACAGGACCCCATCCTTGTGGTCTCCCAAAACCATGAGGCGATTATCACCAAAGTGATGTTGAATAATTTTATTATTAAAAAGATGTACATTGACCTGAGTAGCTCCATAGATATCTTGTATTACGGAGTCTTTGAACAAATGAGACTAGGAGATTATAAGTTGCCACTAATTCAAATTTCTCTCGTATGTCCTAGTGACCTGGGATGATATCGAATGAGCTCTAGTTTCGTACTTCATCAAAGAAGTCTCTACGGGGTTAGATTTGAAATTCTAAAATGATTCAAGTAACACCATATTTCTGGACTTTCTGTTAATATAGCACAAGCATTAAAAGAAGATTTTATTTTACCTTCAAGGAAGGAATAGGGTTGTTAAAACTGGATTACAAGGGCATAAATGGAAAGTGAAGAAAGATCACAGGCTTGTTTGCTGGTGACTAGGTTACAACATAAGGGATACGAACTTTGTACTTTCCACTAGTCCATGTGATTGATCCAAACCCATTTCTGTTGATTAAATCTGTACTGTTGTCATGCCTGAAAGTCACTTGATAACTTAGCTTTCTGATATTTTTGGTGAAGTGCAGCTTTTTGGGATTCACAAGCACTTCCAAACCTGCACCCTTGGCGTTTCTACACTAACTGTGTAGAGCGAATCTTCCTCGCCAACATTTGCTACAGTTCTTTTTACTTTGATGCTTTTATGACCATAAAAATAAGAGACGGCTATTGATGGGTAGTTCAAGTTGGACATCTGTTCTTCACTAGAGTTACTTGAGCAAGAAAAATCAGCCGGAAGGTTTGATGAAATGAGTTTTATCTGTGATGTGTTGTAGCCGCTGTTGCAAAGGTACTGTAGGTAGTCGATTACTTCAGTGTCATAAACTAGCCCTGGTTGCAATGGACCTGACAAGCTCACTTGCCCTGAACCAAAGTCATATGGGGTTGCTGGATTACCGTTATTATTTTTTATGGGGGCCTTGAGATTGTCTGTCTGAATTGCTGAGGATCAAGATGAAGTAGAGGTATGTTACAATGATCTTTCAGAGACTCAATCACCAGGATTTGCTTTAAAACAAGAAGTTACCAACCTGTAGTCATTATAGCTGATTTGATTGCAGAAGGACTCCAAGAAGGATACTTGGATTTGACTGTTGCTGCAATTGCAGATACATGGGGGGTGGCCATTGAAGTTCCTGAAACTATGTTGAAGGGTGGTGTTGTTTTTGTGTCATTTGAAGGCCATGCTGCAAGAATGTCAACTCCTGGTGCTACAACATCAGGCTGCAAGTGCATTGTGATTGAAGGATATCATTTACCAGTTTCTCTACATGGTGAATGGTGATAATAAACAGAGATTGAAGAAAGGGATAGATGTTTTACCTTGATAAGGTTATAATTACGATATATAGGCCCTGTACCTGAGAAGTAGGCCACTGCTGGAGCAGGCTTGTATTTATCTACAACTACAGTTGGTAATATAGTTGCCACAAGATTCCTTGAAAATTCCAAAATGAAATTAGCTAGAGAAAGAAATTTCATATTGGAGTGGTAGTATTTTTTCTCTTTGAAGGAGTTCATTCTTTTTTCTTTTCCTTTTATTGTTCCTTCCTTACTAGTTGTCGACATCGTCGTTACCTGGTTGAGTTGATATAAGATCTAATCTCATCGGCATCCTGGAAGGTAATTATGGTCATTGGAGAAGAACCATAGATGGAGGCTACAGTTTTTTCATCATAATTAATTAGTATCACACCAACACCGCCTAGGCTTATTACAGTCTGAAGCCTCTCTTCGTCAGAACTTTCTTCAAGGTAATCTTCACAGAGAACAATCTTCCCTTTGACTTTACTTTTATCTAATGATTCAGGGAAACAATTACTAAAACAACTCCTTGTCAGTTTTACAATAATTTCCAATGACCAGGATAGAAAACTAATTATGAAGTTCAATATTTTATACCTTGCGGAGGATTCTGAAGTTTCACTAGGATCCTTGGCTGAACGGGCATCAATCACAGGATACACTGGAGACCTTTTGATATTAGCAAAATGAATTCCTCCTCCCTGAAATTGATCAAACATGTTTGCTGAATTAAATCCTAGAGTTTACACTACTGAAATGTCAAAGAAATCTTGAAGATTGCGTGTTGAAAGCTTGACACGTTAACGAACAAACTTGAAGATTTAAACAAAGGCAAAGTCCTTCATTTCCCTCCAACAATGAAGAAGGAGCATAAGTTCATTACTTACCTGGATCACTTTGTTGTTGCCTAGCACAACGTTTGACTCAAAAAACCGGTCAATGGTGGATGCACCTACAGTTAGAACCCAAGGAACAACATTCACAATCGAGTTTTCTTCAAGGCCACGATTTCCAGCAGAGCAGACAACAAGAATGCCTTTCTCAATTGCGTGAAATGCTCCAATAGTAATGGGGTCAGTTAAAAAGTCTTTTCTAGTTACAATACCAGCTGATACTGATAAAATATCGACACCATCGGCTATTGCATCATTGAAGAAGCGCTGAGCTTCCCCGGACCGAGCTGACCTGATGAGCTCGGCGTGCTGATGATGAAAGCGTGTCCAAGCCCTGCAAAATAAACGAGAAGGAGTCTATAGGTTGACTAGCAGAGGAGCCCTGAGGTGGTCCCCGAGGGCACTCTGACGGTCACGTTAGTTTTCCGATGAGGGGAATTTACTGAGAGAAAAACAGTTGGGAATGCTTTGCCAATAGTGTGCGTACCTTATGCAGTCGGTGTGCGTTATTATTTATACCTGTTTGAGAGTCCGACCTCCGTACGTTTCGGGGCTTACCCAGTATAAACTCAATCCCGCGCTGAGGGGGATTCTCCCCGCCCTCTGCGGGATTGTTTTCCGAACTCCCAGGGAGCCCTAGCAGCGGCGTGTCCCAAGGTGGTTGCCATGGGCCTGGGGTCCGAGCCCAACTCTAGCCTTCTTGGGCTGCCACGTGTCTTGGCCTAGGACGGGGCCTCTGCACTAGCCCCCTAGATTAGGTAGGGCTTCCAGGCAGACCTAATCTATACCCTTGCCACGTGGGAGCCCAGCGTCGCACTGCTCTGCCATGGTCACCTCCGGTACAGTGCTGTCATTGAAAAGCTGCGCCCGCGTCCTTTCAGTTGTCGCGTCTCTTCGATCTCCGTACCGTTCTTAAATGCGTTCACATGGGGCAGTTCAAATTCAAGCAGCCGTTTCCCCCCATTTTGCTCCCTATAAATAGGGATTTCCAGATTTTCTCAGACTCTATTTGCCATTGTCTTCTCTTCGTGCATTTTCTCATTCCCAGAAATCCCAGCGACGAGGCTTCCGGCTTACAGTATCCAGACTCCGGCGGTTCCTCCATCTTCTCCCCATTCCGTTCACCAGTAAGTCCTTCTTCCTCCTCCTTCGCACTTTCTCTTTTCTCCTTCACCACCTTCTGCATTTTATGTCGGATCGTTTCGACATTACCTCCACCGCATCCCAAATTCCAGCCCATCGTAGAGCCCCCAGAATCCTCATTTCTTCTTCGTCTTCGTCCTCATCTTCATCTTCATCCTCTCCTCCTCCTCCTCTCTCTTCTTCCTCTGCTTCTAATCCCAACTTCCACATTCCTGATCTGCTCGAGCCTATTGATATCATGAGTTCTCCATCTGCCCATTCTCCTTTAGTTCGCATGTTGGAGGAGGCGGCCGAGCTTGATACTTTCATCGATCAGCAGGCCACTTCCATTCCTTCCCCCAAGTCCTCACATGACTCCCCTGGCGGAGCCCAGGGTGGGGCAGGCGAGGATAGGGATTCTTCAGAGGGGACCCCTACCCCTGTGCAGGGGGATAATCCTGAACTTGACTACGGTCAACCTGACCAGCAAGAGGTTACCCTCTCACCCGGGGGGGTCGCCGAGCTGGTCAGCTCCTTTTCCAGTCCTCCGGCTTTCGAGCCAGGGTCTGCCGGGCCCGATGACCGAGCTAGCCGACCTCCCTCCGGCTTCATAGCCATCTATAGGGAGCAGCTGGTCGCAGGGCTCCGTCTCCCAATTCCTCCAGCCCTGGCTGAGATCCTGAGCTACTGGGGGTTCAGAATCACCCAGGTCCATCCCAATTCGATCAAGATTATCATTGGGTTCCTGATCTACTACCAAATCTGCTCCATTCCCTACTCTCTTTCTCTCTTCCGAGCTTCCTATACCCTCAAGCTCTCCCTTCCTCGGTGGTACTATTTCTCCCGCCGAACGACTAGTAAAGTTCGGGGTGGGAAGGGCATCCAGGATCTGCTTTTCGGGGTCCCTTCTTCCGTAAAAAACTGGAAGGGGGACTTCTTCTTCGTTAAATCCATGCATTTTCCTCCCAATGTGTGGAAGGTTGGGGAGGTCGTCTCCGACCCCAACCCGGGGGACTTGGACGCCGAGGCCCTCAGCTGCTGGTGAGTTCTAAGGTGAAGCTCTATGCCACCAGGTTCTCCACCGAGCAGATTTCTGCGGCGGGGCTGATGGGGACTTTGTCCGGGTCCCCTGGAGAAGTGGAGCTCTCCCCTCTCAACTACAACGACTGTAATGCCGCCCCCGTGCTCCTATTGCCTGTTATCCTCTTCCTTTTTTCCTTACCAACCTGTTTCTGCTAACTTGGTGACATTTGCTGCAGTGAGGAGGCTTTCCAAACTGTTGGGCGCGCCTTCCGAGCCGACCACCCTAACTCCACAGCCAGAGGCCGCCCAGAAGACCTCTGAGGCCTCTCCGACTCCTGGGGGCAGCTCGGCTCCCCAGAAGAAGGCATCCCAGTTTCAGTCCCCCTCCAAGCAGGTCGCCAGCAAAAAGAAGGCGACAGGACAGAAGAGGGGCCGAGGGGACGAGCCTTCCCAACCTGGGAAGAAGCTCATGCCAGCTCCAACACAGCGCCCTCTCCTATTGACGTCGGGGGGCCCTGTCCACCTGGGATTTGGCTCCGCCGAGGAGCACGCCGGGGAGACGCCTCCCCCCACCTTGTGGCATTTCCGCCATGTGGCCCCTGTCAAGCCGGGCCAGGCCCCCTCTATGCACGACCCCCGTCGCTTCTGCCCGTCCTGGGAGCTTTCCATCAACGACCGAGCCTAATTTTCCGAGGTGGCTCGCGAGTTGGTTGCGGGCTGGGTCCTCCCTCGCGACAAGAGGTGGATGGAGATCGTCAGTCCATCCGAGCTCCAGGATATGTACTTCACCGCCCAAGCTCAAGTGAGTTCCCTATCCCTTAGGCCAGTTGTGTCCCCGCTTTTCGGCTAAGTCGCGCAATGTGCTAACTTCTTCTTTCTTCTCCTCAGGCCAATGCTGCTGGAGCCGCCCTGACAACCCGCTTCTCCGAGCTGTCTCTCGACTTTGAGAAACTGTAGAAAAAGAGTCGGGAGACAGAGCAAAAGCTTGCCCATGCCCTTAAGGAGACGGACTCCCTTAAGGCCAAGTTGGGCAAGGCCGAGAAGGAGTTGGAGATGGCTCAAGTCCAGCTCGCCTCCATAAGGTCAGAGCTGGATCAGGAGAGGACGGGCGTGGAGAAGCTGAAGGCGGACCACGTCATCGAGCTCTCCGGCTCCGTCAACCTGGAGCGCAAGAAGGCTGTTCGGGAGTTCATCTCCTCCGAACAGTTTGCCGAGGATGTGGCCCTCCTCAACCAGCCCATCCTCCAGGTCGGCTTCACGCGGGCCCTGGACCAGGTGAAGGGTCTCAACCTGCCTAGGTTCGACTTGGCCGCGTTCAAGGACTACAACTCCGCCGCCGAGGAGAAGCTAGATTGGCTCTTCGATGGGTACAGCAAGGGGCATGCCCTGAAGGACCTGGTGGGCAGGAGCGATGTGGGGGCTGAGCTGGCTTAGGTTTCCTTGGAGGAGGACGAGGCTCCCGGGAAGGAGCCGGTGGCTTAGGGTAGCGGCCACTCCAGAAACCCTTTCCATCTTCTTATAAGGATGTGATCATGCTCCAGCAATGCACTTGAAAGACCATTCGAAGTGAATAGGTTTCAATGCCCCGCAGTTCATGATCTCCATAGATATCTTTTTGAATAGCCTTCCCCACACGCCCCTCAGCATGTTTAAGGTGTACCCTCAACTCCCGCGCTCAAGCAGGTCGCCCGCAAGAAAAAGGCGGCCGGGAAAAGAGGGGCCGAGCTGTACATTGCTGGGTTTTCCTATTCTTTTATAGCTCGGTAGGCTATGTAATAGATAGGTTTTGAGTGTATATATGAATTAGCATTCAATGAAAACTGCCTAATTTTGACTTTCAATTTTCGCTTGCAACGAACCTTAATAATCGAAGTGGCCTGCCAACCACCTGGGTAGAACACCGAACTGATTCGCCAAGACGATGTGCCGGCCTCTCGGGTCGAGCACCTATCAAATTTTAAGCTAACAATCAAATTGTCAAAGACAACAGACTAAGGCATCAACAAGCTACATCAGTCTAATCCCCAATGTGCCGACCTCCTGGGCCGAGCACTAAACTTTAAGGGCAGCCATGCCGACCTCCTGGGTCAAGCGTCAAAATTTTAAAGGTGATCCATGCCGACCTCCTTGGTCGAGCGTCAAAATTTTAAAGAACGATCCTGCCGACCTCCTGGGTCGAGCGTCAAGCTCTCAGACTTGAGACGCATTCCATCCAGTACCATTCATCACCACTCAGGGACTTGAGAGGCATTCCATCCATTACCATTCATCACCACTCAGGGCCCCCCACTAGGACACTTAGTATTGTCTGAGTGTGCTAGTGTAAGATTTAAACTTAAAAAGTAAACAGTAAAATTAGAGGCGAGTATTTATTTAATGATGAATTTGTATGAGGATTTCAAAGAATACAGTAAGATACCCTGCCTCAGTTTATCCTACAAACAATCGCAAGTTCGAGAAGTGCCAAGTGCGGGGTACCTCAATTCCATCTAATCTCGCAAGCTTGCAGTAACCAGCTCGACTCGTTTCCAGGACTTTGTACGGCCCCTCCCAGTTTGGGTCGAGCTTGTGGGAACTATGAGCTTGACTGACTGAGTTCTTTCTTAAGACGAGGTCACCCGGTTGGTACTGCGTGTTCCTCACCTTCGCGTTGTGGTAGCGGGCGAGCTGGCTTTTATACTTAACCATCCGTATCGCGGCTTCCTCGCGTTTGGCCTCCAGCATGTCCAAGTGGCACCTCAGTTCTTCTTCGTTGGCTGTCGCAACGAAGTTCTGTGTCCGAGGCGAGCGGAGGCCGATCTCTGCGGGCACCATCGCTTCTACCCCATAAGTCAGGGAAAACGGGATCTCATGAGTGACCGTCCTTGGCGTAGTGCGGTAAGCCCAGAGGACGCTAGGGAGTTCCTCTAGCCAATTAGACCGGGCTAGTTCCAACCTAGTCTTCAGTCCTCGCAGGATGGTTCGGTTGACGTTTTCCACTTGGCCGTTGGCCTGGGGATGACCGACCGAGGAGAAATGTTGGCTAATCCCGAGCTCGGTGCACCAGCTCCTGAAGGGGTTTTCGGCGAACTGTCGCCCATTGTCGGATATCAAGACATGCGGGATCTCGAAGCGGCAGACTA